AGGGGTCAGTCTTATGTGCTAAAGTTACTTCATATGACTCTCTGTTCTTATTCCTTAATTCCTCATATGTAATACTTTTTCTTTTAGGACTTTCTTCAGGGTTTGGATCAGGTCCTAAAACAACAAACAGTTAATAAATGGTGATAAAAGGATTTGAATAAATCCAAAGTGACTAAATTTTATAAATGCTCCTTACCTACAATAAAAAAGAGAGTGAAGTAAAGGATCAAATTACTACCACCATTCCAAAAGAACTATATTTACCCCAAGGCAATTAAAACCTAAAATCATCTTCCTCTCACATTTTTAAGCTTTTATTTCTAAAATTTAAAATTAACATAAAAATATTAAAAACCACGGACAGAACAGATATCATAATATATATCAGCACAATTTAAACTCATTAGCATGTTAAGTGTTTTAAATTGGAAATCATTCATAGTATTATATAAAGAATATATTCTACTAGTGGCAACTGAACAAAACTAGATATAGTATACATGTTATTTAGTAGTATTTCCATAGTTAACTTTTCCTGTAACCAGAATCTATATGCAAACAACTCTATTTAAAAATCGTTTACCATCTTTATATTTAAACAAAAATAACTTGAAAATAGCTATTGAAAAGTATAAATCACAGTCTTTAAATCACAGTATGCATCATTTTCTAATGAATATAATAGTGAAGCAGAAGAAAGTGGTAACTATAATTTACCCTGGGAAACCAGCATTTATTCTTCATTTCTTCCCAAGAGAATATGTACTCCAAGTATGAATACATATTATCAAACGTCAAATACTGATATAAACATAGGTGGTTACTCTTAATATTGGTTGACAGGGCCAACTATTGAACATTTTTTATAAAATGCATAAAGGGCAAAAAAGGCGATAAAAACCTTTTTAAAAAAATTAACTAATGCTAACATAATGTTAATTCAGTGAACTAATTTTACACACCACACTAAAAGTAACATTTTTCAAAGAGGTTTTCAATGAGACGTACGAATTGGACATATTTTAATATAGTCATAACATTAAAATAAATTTCAAAAAAATTTTTGTTAAGTGGTACTATTTTGAAACTCAATGGTAAGGTCTCAGTGAATAGTTAGAATTTTTAAACATAACTAAACATTAAATGCTTTCAACTATAATGTTTTATTTTAATACGAAGTATACTGCACTGATACAAAGCATTTAAATTTCTCATTAGCTCTATTATATCATTGTTGCAAAGTAAATTAAAAATGCAAAGAAAAATAGTATAACCTTATATTGGGTTCAAAAAGCATTCTATTTCACTAATAATGAGTAATTATTGGGCTCATTTCCCCTTTACCATAAATATTTTTAAAATTCTGAAGGAGATAGTGTGTACTAGATTAGTAGTTAGAAACTCTGGTTCTCATTCCTACTATGCTGACAATTAGCAAATGTCCTTGGGCAAATCACTAAGCTTCTTTGAATCTTGGTTTTCTCAATTGTAAAATATCAAAGTGTAACTAAATAATCTATCTCTAAAGTTCCTTCCAGGTCTAATATTTTTTCATTGTTCTGAAATTCTCTGACAAATAATGAAAACAAAAATCAGACAAAAGATTAAGGAGAATATTTTATACTTATAAAAGCCAAAGGAAAATGTCTTGCCCTGTGTAAGGAGCATAATTTACTACTTTGGGAAGGTTACACAGAGCTGGAAGGAATAAGACAATGTAAAATGGCACTGATTTAAATCTAACTGTAATAAACTATATAATAAGGTCTCATAACAACTATGAAGGAATACTTTCTAATCTCAATTCTCTGCTTTGAAGTCTTGGTAAGAGAAAGCAGAACTAAAGAGGGCAAGTAGTTCTGCTTAAACAAAAGGGAAAGGCGTCCTGGTAAGGGAGGGCAGCATCTGGGGCAAAGGGGGCCACTGCTGGCCCATGTGGAGAGTGGTTTAAAGCTCAACTCTTGACCTAAAGGAGGTGAGAAAGCAGAGCAGTGGACAGATGGATAACTGCTCCAGAGGACTTAAATACACTATAGTCTGTGGGCAGATACCAAAGGGCTCTTTGTTTACTTTTATTTGGAAAAGAAATTATATAACATGGAATGGAATTTGTTAATGCAAATGCAAGGAAGGATGAAAAGGCATTACAAGGGAAGAGCTAATGCATGGCTAGAACACAAGTAGAATGGATTTCAACTTGAGAGATAAGAAAAATGGCAACACACAGTGAGGGACAAGGACAGCTGCCTTTGGAGATAACAACTTTAACCACTCTCTCTAATCTGCCCACCTCCTTCCCTTTCTGACTACAGTCGACCCTTGAACAACACAGGTTTGAATTGTGTGGGTCCACTTATAAGAGGATTTGTATAAGTGGACCTGTGCAATTCAAACCTGCATTGTTTGTGCTTGCTTTGGCAGCACATATACAAACCTGCATTGTTCACAGGTCAACTGTAATGGGATGTCTTTATTTTCAAACATTCAAAAAAAATAAAGCAGTTGAGGATTAACAGACACTGAACAACTTTCATCTAGTTAATCTAAATTATCTTAACTTTCATTCTTTTTTTCTGCAGTTAACGTTCACCCCCCTCACTTCTGCTCCAAAGCAGTGCTGCCCAATATATATAATGATGAGTGTTCTATGTCTGCATAGTCCTACACAGCGGCCACTAACACATGTGGCTACTGAAATGCTGGCAAAGCAACTAAGAAACTGAATTTTCAATTTTAATTAATTTAAACAGCCGTATATAGCCAGGAGCTACTTTATATCCTGACCTACATACGACCCCTTCTGCAAACTAGGACCTATAATCAACTTCTCCCTTTCCACCAGATCCCCTTCCTCCCTTTAACATATATATATATACACACACACACACACACAAATCTCTCCCAACTTAAACAAAAGAAATAAAAATCAAAGTGTTCCTTTAAACACTGTTTGTTCCCCATTAATTGCTTGCTTATTGTATTTGGTTCAAAGTAAGCATTTTCAAAGAATTCTCTATAGAGGTCCACAATCCCTTATCCAAATCCTTGAAGAGTCAGAAATGTTTCAAAATTCAGACTTCCTCAGAATTTAAACTTATGTCAGTTTAGGTCAGGGTTGGAAATGCGTTTAGGTCAGACTTTACCACCTGTTTAATTATTTTTAAAAACTTCGGTTTTCAAAGCTTTTTGGATTTTAGGATTTCAGGTAACAAATTGCAGACCTATACTTTCTCACCTTTCACTGTAAATTAGACTTATGGAAGAAAAGAAGGAAACTAATGTCTGTTGAGAGCCTATTACTTGCCAGGCGTTACCTCTGATTATTTCATCTCATTCCAAAAGTTCTTTAAAAGAGGTATTGTCATCTGCATTCAAGAGATCAAGAAATTGAAGGGATCACAAATTAGTTACTTGCCAAAAGTCATAGAGCTAGTAAATGTCAATCATGAATCAAATCCAGGCCTTAATCCAAAGTTGATATTGTTCACTTACTTATGTGATTTTCAAAGCTAGAGTTTACATAAACTTCACAGAGCATTTTCTCATGGATTTTCTCACCTGACAACAGTTTTGAAAGGCAGGTAATTAGTATTTTTCTCATATTACAAGCAAAGGAGCTGAAAGCCTTTAAGATCAGCTTAACAAATGTAAACTTTTTAAAGCCTCCCCCTGAGGCACTTATCACTTCTCTGCTATTCTGCTAAACCCGGTTAGTATTTAACTGATGGGACATACTAGTAATTTATCCTTATATTTCTATATTTACTGACAGAGAGTTTCTCAGAGAAAAGAACCAAGTCTTATTCATATTTACTTCTAACATAGCTAGCAGAATGCCTGATACCTAATGGACCTCAAAAATAGTAAATGAAAAAAAAATGTTAAATGAATGAAGAAAGAAATGAACAAACATGCTGAGTTTAGACTGATGGTGGAACATATAGGTGATATCCAGCAGAAAAGGTCATCAAATAAAGTTTATACATACGTTGGACCATAAAATGCTGAAATTCATTTCAAGAGAAGTTTCTACCTTGCGCAATATGATCAGTTATACCAGTGGGAGTAGATTCATTCATAGAAGCACTGAATGGAACTGGCTCATAATGAGAAAACATCTCTTTTTCCATGTTGTCTGCTGCTGGTGATGTCACAAAAGATGAATGATCACTCACATTTGAGTCATATTTTGACTTTTGAGAGTAGTGTCTATAAAGGAAAATCATATTATTTAAGAAACATGAGCTAATGCTTATACCTTAAAGTATGCTAAAGTATGAAAATCTTCTTATTTTCTAAAGAAATCATATAATTTTAATACAGTATTTAATGTAGTATTTAACATACTATAAAATGAAGTCTGTTTCTTTCTGCCACAAAAACAAAATAAAAAGATGTTCTGATCTACTTATATAACTTAAAAATTGTCACTCAATATAAAGGAAGGAAAATGTATATTCAATTTTCTAATTACTGGGCTTCAGAGATCATTTTAATGTGTTTAAAGTTCTTAGAAAAAGTATTTCAGATCAAAACTGTGTCCATTTCCCACACTAACTGGGAAGTTACTTCCACAGGCAGCAGTCCATATAAACTACAAATACATACAAGTATATCTAGCTCTCATGGGGTTTACACTGCTTGCCATTTATGATATGACAATTTATCTACCCAATCTACTTAATTACCTATCTAGACAAATTCATTTACCTACACTTATACAATTTCTCTACTATATTAAACAAGAGAAGAATTAAAAAGTAGAAATTGGTTGAGCTGAGATAAAGGTTTTGGAATTCAAAAGAAAAGTCCAAAATATAGGTAATCAAAGGTGTTTGCCAAATTAAAATCTTCTACTCTAGGATATGCACTCTCAATAGGATGCAACTCTATATTTAAAACAAAGAGAGACATATCTCACTCTACCTTTAAAAACAAATCTATAGCTTTTCAGCTTAACAAAGTGGCAAGTCTCCAATGGTCCTTCAGATAGGCAATGTTTCATGCCCTGAATTATGGCAATATCGTTATAATTTTTTAGCTAAAATTAAAAACCTTTAATAAAGATCGGAATCTGGCCTACCCAGGTGGTGAAGATCGTCGTGCCTGTCCTGATCGTAAAGCTTCTCCAAGAGGGGAATTCTCAAGATTCTTGAACTTCTCTTGGCACGTTTTCACATAAGAAAGCTTTCCAGCAAAGTATCCCATGATACAAGCAACTTATTTGTAAAAACAAACAAAGAGCGTGACTCAATGTGCCTTTTTAGACAAGAATCTTTTCTAGAAGAACATTTTAAAAAATTGTGATTCTAAATATGTCTTTGGTGTGAAAAGACTAAGATTTCCTGAAATGGTAAAAATGTCACATTAAATCAGAGTCAGACAGAGTTCACAGAAAGATTCCGCGGATGTAATTCATTTTCACAAAATAAAATAACCCAAAATAAAGTTGCAATAAATTCTATTTTACTAATTATTTTATTAATCTAGATAGAAAAGATGTGGTAAAAGATATAATGAAATGAGGAATCAAAACATCAGAGCTCCAGCCTAGTCACAGGAATTTAGGCCATTTCTTTTCCTATAAAATGGGGATCATACCACTTGCCTAGCTAATTTCTTAAGGTTTGTTTTTAAAATTAGGTGTAACAAATCTCTAAAAATAATGAATCATGAAATGCTACCTAAATGTGGCTACTGTTGCATCATGTGTCTGTTTCCAATACAAAGGAGAGGCTAACCTGAAAGATTCATAAAAACCCTCAGGCATTTAGAGCAATTTAGCTTCTTTTCAATTAACCATGTTACAAAATATAAGTTATGCTTATAAGTGAAAGTAAGTTACACTTATTTACATTTTAATGTAAATTAAAATTTTTTTTCAAATTTGGCTTAATTTTAAAATATACTTTTAGTTTGATTAATCAGAATCTCTGAACTTTCTTTCCTCATAGACAAAAAGAATTTTCAAATGCTGTATTTTTATAAAACAATTTAAAATTAACATGCTATTACATTATAAAAAGAAAAAAATGCCTCTGTCAAGTAGCTCATGATTTTTAATGCAAACAATAAAAAGCCCTACTAGTACATTTAGTGAAAAACTTAAATGAACTGATTTGTCAAAGCAAATAACCAAGTAATCGTTATACGTAAGAAAATATTTGAGAAAACCATTACTTTACTTAAGTAAAAAAGCTAAGAAAACTAGTGTTCATACTTACATATGAGTTTAGGAATGGAACCATATTTGGGATGACTTGAAAGGATTCCTAAAGATAAGAGTAAATATTTATGAGTAATATCAATTGTTAAAGGATTTAACAACTGATAAATTCAAGCCAAGATAAATTAAGATAAATTCAAGTCAAGTTTATGCTAAGAGTATATAAGAAAATGACACAGAAATTATGGTAAAAAAACATAAAGAAACTATTTCCGCTAGTCATTATGTGGTCGCTTTTAATGTAAGACAAAATGAGTAAGCTTAGCAAAGCAACATAAAGTAACATATATCTATTTCTCAGCAGCTTTGTGCAATCCAGATACAAGGAAAAATCAGTAGATTATCTTTAAATATTAACTAACATTAGCTCTTTCCATAACTTTAGAGAAGTCTAAAGCTACTTAAAAGAGTAAATTCATTATCAACAGAAATATTAAGAAAAAAGAAAAGACTCCACAATCTATCAGAATAGGTGAATTTATTAGCAAGATCATTTGATACATACAAGGTCAACAGTAAAAAAAATAAATAAAAAATTCTTTATACTAGGAACAAACAAAATAACATTTTTTAAAAGATATAGTTCATTATAGTACCAAAAAACATTAACTACCCAGGAGTAATCTAATGAAAAATATGAAAGATCTCTACACTGAAAACTACGAAACTTACTGAGATAAATTAAAGCAAAATAAATAGGGTGATACACCACGTTCATGAAACGAAAGCCTAAATATTGTAAAGATGGCAAATCCTCATTTAATCAAAGTTGTCCCCAAAACTGAAAAGTGTATTTTAAAAAATATGCAAAGGGCTAAGAATAAGGCAATACTGAAGAACAAAATTGGAAAACTACCAAGAGATATCAAGATCTATGACTATAATAAGACAGTCTGTTATATGTACAAGAATAAACTAACCAAAACCAGAACAGAATTCAGAAACAGTCCCATATATGCAGTCACTTGATGTATGACAAAGTCAACACTGCACGGCAGTGAACAAAGAAGAATCCTTTCAAAATATAGTTCTGGGTCAACCCATATCCATAAGGGAAGAAAATATACCTTGATCCTACATCATACAATATTCAAAAATAATTCCAGATGACTTCAAAATTTAAGTATGAAAGATAAAGTAAGGCTTATAAGAGATTCTTCATGTCTTTGTAACAAAGATTTTAAACAGACCACAAAAAGCACCCACCGTAAAGGAGAGATCTGATATCTTGGACTCTATTACATTAAAGACTACAGTTAATCATAGTAGGAAAAAATAAGCACAATACATATATCTGACAAAAGATTCATTTCCAGAATATATAGCGAACTCTCACAAAACTAATAGGAAAAATAAGACAATCCAATGGAAAAATGGACAACAGACTTACACAGATACTTCACAAAAAAGGGATACATTCAAATGGGATATAAACAAAAGGCCCTCAACTTCATTAGTCATCAGATGCAAATTAAAACCACAATGCAATCAGTATCACTGTTCACTCACCACAATGGCTAAAATATGAAGACACGAAAATATCAAGTGTCAGTGACCATGTAACACAATTAAAATTCTATTAATAAACTGGTAGTGGGAGTATAAATTGATCCAAACAGTTTAGAAAGTTTGGCAGTATCTACTAAAGATGAATATATACATCATCTATGACCCAGCAAAATGTCTACCAAGAGACACCGTATTCATGGCATATTTACAATAGACAAAACTGGAAACTACTCAATTGCCAGTGTACAAGAGGATGGATAAACTGCTGTGGTATATTCACACAGCAGAAAACTATATGGCAATGAGAATACACAATCTAAAGCTACATGCAACAATGTGGGTCAATCTAGTGATAAGCTGGTAAATCAGTTCTCCAAATAAAAAGCTTTGATTTGTAATGTCGATTGATTTCCATGGAGCAAATACTTGGGCCACGACCAATTTCAAGCTACCAAATGGTTTAAAAACCAGCTTGCCAAGTTGTTAAAAATTTAAAAATCAGCTCTCTAGAGCCTGTATAAGCCAGTTCCAGCATATCACTGGATAAATCTCACAATGCTAAAAGAAAGTAGACAAAAGAACAATTGTCTGACTTAACGTATATAAAGTACAAAAATATTACTCATTTATGCTGTTAGCTTCAGTTCCTTAATACAAATAAGATGAGGAGGAGAAAAAAAAGGATGGCAATAATATCTACATTTGTATAAAAGTCTTTCCTCCATTCTGACACCAAATAGTTACATACCACTTACAACATACAGGCACTACATACTAAGAAGGATATAACAGTAAATAAAACATGCTCTTTACCCTTACAGAGTTTACAGTCTAGAAAGGCAATAAAGACAAAAAGAATAGTGTGATAGCTGCTATCCATTCACTTAAATATTTGAATATCTACTCTGTGCGCTATGTCTTGACAAGTGTTAGAGACAGCCCATTTTCTAAGGGGAAGTAGCAACGATGAAGAGAAATAGATTTGTTGAAGGCTAATGCAATACTGTTGGCAAGAGATGGTTGCACTATAGTGGCAGGGCAAAGGTGGACAGTATACAGAGTATTTAAGAGCTGGACAGGCATTTATTGGATGGGCAGTTAAGGGACAGAAGTGAAGGATAATGCCTGTTTTCTGGATGGACAGTGATGTCATTCAAATATGGGAAAAACAAAGAAACTGGTTTTGGAGGAAATGGAGGAGCCTATGGGAGAGCTCCTATGTGGAGATATCCAGGATATGGTTCTGGAGCAGATACCTAAGCTAGAGATAAACCTGGGGATGAGAGCAATAAATAAAATACAGAGCAATAAATCCTGCGGATGTAGAGCATTGATGCCCATATTATCCTGGGTAATAGTATACAAATTAAAAACAGAAAGTCAAAGCAGAACTCTGAAGAAAAACACAGGTGGAGGAAGAAAACCCGCAATAGAAAATAAGCACCAAGAGGTCATGAATTTGTCTTTTAGAGATATTTCCAAAAACTGTATAGTACATAATAGGCATTCAAAAAATATGAAAAAGGGGGGGGGGGGAGGTTCCCAGAGGAGGGAAAA